CTGTGCGCACAGACCCGCGGGCGGCCAGGCTGGAAGGGGTGAGACACCGGAGGGGTCTCGCGTGGGTGATACTGAAGCCCCACCCGCGGAAACTTCGCGTCTGGGAAATGCAGAGGCTGCAGCTACTACTCTTGAGGTTGGGGAAGGAAGAGCACATGGCAGAGGACCCTAAAAGTTAAGCAGTAGCTTGTTCTTTGAAATTATCTTTAGAGTGAGCCAGTGGCACAATGGGTAACGCCTCTGACTAAGGATCAGAAAATTATCTTAAGAGGAAAAAACAAGAAAAAGTATGAATTCTGTCTTTAGCTGGATTTCCATGCAACTTATTTCAAAAGAAAATACAGATATTGATATAAAATACTTTTTAAGTTGAAAAAGAAACATTTTAAAATCTGTGCATTAGACTTTTTTTCACCTCTCAGTTCCAAAGCTGGCACAGAAGATTGAATGCTAGACCTCGTCACACCCCCTTCATCCTAGGTGACAATGAATAATTTCTTAAAGCGCTGTAAAAAAGAATTTTAGGCCCAGAAACAGGGAGGTCTGTAATTAAGAGTAGTTAAAGCAGGATGCATTTGTCACAATGTAACAAAAAACTTTAAAAATCCGTATTTCCATATGTGTAGCCGAATTTTCTTTTGTAATCACAGGAGAGAAATGGCAAAGAATGCAGTTACATGATTTAACTAGGTGCCCCTGAGTTACTTCTGCATGTACAGATCAATGACAACTTTGTATTTTTAACAAGCTATTTAAAAAAAAACAGTTTTATTGTTATTTATTATTAAAGATAAAAGCTACCATCTCCATCAATTACATCCCTACATCCCTTATTAGACTTAGAGAGACTTTACTGCTTGAAATTATATTGCTAAGAATGAAAAATTCCATCTTTGCCAGACGAAGCTCAGGCATTTGACTGAACAAAGCAGCCACAATAACAATCTTCACCACTCTGGAACCACACAGTAGGGGATTTCTAGACATTTCTATTTAACTTCATAGTTTCCAAGCAAATTGAATCCTGGGTCTACTTTGCAGTTTTACATTGACTGCTAGTCTAGACCTTACCAGAACACTGCTCAGTTAAGTCTCAGTTAAACTCTACCCTGCCTCAGAAGACTATAACTCTCTTTTCCAAAGTTTGGGAAGATGCCACAGAGTTCCTCTGATGTTCAATCTCCCACACTGCAACTAGAGACCTCAAACAAAAGCAATCAGTTATTTCAACAGCTTAAAGGAATCTTTTGGAAACAAGCCACACAAGAGAAGGCAGATTGGAGAGTGCATTCATGGCCAGACCCACATACATGTCTGAATCCAACACTAACAGCACCCCATATAACCCTTGGAAAACCTCTCCCTCAACTCCACCGGAGGGGAAAAAAGCTTCATTTCTCCTGGGAGATGCAAGGCAATTGGTCCCTGTAGGGTGCTGATTTACTCATAGGTGGGCACTTTAGACTCATGATGTAATTTAAATGGATTTCTTAACACTAATGTTCACACAAACCATTGATAAACTTGATTTTATTAGACTACAGTAATCTTCCTAATGTTCTTAGTCTGACTGAGCAAGGATCCAATGTATTAAACTTGGATTAAAATGTAGCCCACTGACAGGCCTGAAGGTTTAAAAAAACATGGACTTGAGATTAGTAACCAGCACAGTGAGGGATCAGGCAAGAATAATGTGCAAGCGTTTTTTAGCTTGGGGTGCTGGGATCACTTCCAAGATATCAGAAGTCAGAGCCAGACTAGACCAACACAGATGGGAGCTACTAAGAGGCTGAGCTAGGGCTAACTGGAGGAAAGAGGGTGCAGACAAAAGTGGGGGGGGCGGAGGGGCTGGGGTGGAGTGGGGGTTTCCACCACTGACCAAGAAAGATCAACTTAAGGCTGCTTTTGGTAACTGCTAAGTCCTGAGCTAGATGTGAAGATCCGCTGTTGCCCCCTAGCGACTGGTTTAAAAACTGCAGTGTCGCTTTAGAGATGTTTCTTTCAACTAGTATGAAGTCACACTCAAGGGCAAGACCACTTGCAATCCTTCCATGCTTTTCAAATCAGACCCTGTACTTGAGCTTTCGTGGGTAGGATGAATGCATTCTTCTCTTCTCATTTGTTCTCGTCTTGGGTAGGTCTTTGGAGAAGCCAATTTAGCCATGCATGGTGAGTGCTGGTATAAGGAGAGTTATAGGACTGGAGCACCCAATGCCTAGTTAAGTGGGTGTTTAAATGGGGCCCGCCAGAACCTCACAACCTGGTGCAACAAGCGGGCTAAAGTCTGTGGGGGGGGGCAGGAGTTGGGGATCACCCCAATCTCCTGAGGGCTGGTGGAAGCCCCTCCTGTCAATGGGGGGTTGGGAGGGGGTTGGCTTAGGGAGGGTAGTTACTTATTCCAACACTTTTACAAATATAACCATGGTTCTCTGCAGTTGTGACAGTGTTGGAATGCCCTGCTCAAAGGATTCTGTAAGCTGCTGTCGTGTAAAACAAGAGATGAGCCACCTTCAGCGTACTATATATAAACGGACATCAACGTTTGTGTGTAACAGCCACGTGTGTCTCACCCAAAGGGGGAATGATGGACCCTATTGCTTGTAGTGGCTAAAGGTCCATAGGGGAGCGTCAAAGTAGCAGCTTCTAGCTCACTGAGGTGTAAATCCAAACAAGAAAGGACATTTGGCGGCTGCGGGGTGACCGTAGATGAGGGGGTGATACGGAACACTGGGGAGCGGGGGTGGAGTGTGTGGGGGGTAAGTGTCCTGGATTAAACATTGTGTGCACCACAGTTCTCATCACTGACTTCATGGGGTGAGGACAGTCCCCACCCCTTTGCCTCTTCTTCCCTGCACCTACCTGCTATAAATCCCCGCTCATTCAAGTATTTATCATCACCTAATCTGAGCACCGTGGGCC